ATCTTTTAGCTGTTTCCAATAGCCTTAATGTGTACGTATACCTACACGAGTAAAGACCAACATCAGTTATATAAAATACAGAAAGTTAACTAAGATTGCAGCTCAGCATGCCCTCTTGTATCACGTACCTCAGCCTTGGATAAACAGCATTCACACATAGCTAAGGCATGCCCTACTAGGATGGCTTTAGTGTTGCTTTCATTTTGAACCGATCTCTGTGGCTGTCTGGATAGAGCACAAAGGGAAAAACACACACATGGCCCCTGCTCAACTTCTCTCACCCTCGGGCGTTTCTCAGTCCCGCACTGCGCAGGCAGGAAATGTTCCCATCCACAGAGGAGATCTCTCAAAGCTTAGTTTGAATCTCTCAGCCTAAAGTCTGAAGTTTGGCAAATCACTTCCTTCCACTTGTCTCTTTTCCTCTTCCCACTGCCCGCGCTGCCATTAGTTGGTCATTTCTGGAATGCAGCACGGAGCACAGCTGTGCCCCAAACAGATGGATACCTTGAGGCACATCCAAAATGCAACACAGAAAAAATCCACTGTGCACTTGACAGGGTTGTATTCTGCCACCCTACCTCACACTAGCACAGTGCATTACGCCATGAGAAATCCTGCTGAAAACCACAGGACTGTTTGCAGAACAGGGCACTATTCAGACTGAATGAATGTGGCAGAATTCCTCCAATTATTTACTTTTCATCAACACCTGAGAGTCTACAAGAAACAGAAAGTTCTCTGACATGTACACTCCTCCATGAATACACACAGGGAGGGTCCACACACTCCACCATGAAGAACCAAACCATTTTTGCCCTCATGGTACCCATAAGGATGCATTCATTGCCCACTCCCCTTCTATCCTGACACAAAAAGGAATGCATTGACATCAGGTAAATTCTCTCGCAACCACAGAATCCCAGAGCTGCATCAGTTCAGTCTGCAGCAAAGTTTCTGGTGTGTACTTGACTTTCAGGCTTGATTGTACGGAGCCAGCCTACTCCCAAGGGGAGGTGGAGGAAGAGGTGAAAGCAGCAGCATCAATAAGAGGGACAGTTCATGACTCCCAAATACATTTTTAGCAAAGCTGACATGAGCAATGGCTACAGAGCAGCTGCTGCCAGAGCAGACCATGAGACAGACCTAGTTTGTGAACACAGATCGAAACCAGAATTGTCCCAGGAATTAATTCTTGAATTTCAATCCAGACAAACTACAGTACTGAGGGTTTTCCTCAGCCATAATTGAGAGATTATCTGAATGAAGCTATCTCCTATGAAGCTTTAAGAAAAAAAAAAAAAATTCTCAATGCTTGGGCCACACTGGCTACAAGTTTGCTCAGAAGTCCTCTCAGGCATCATCCAAGTGACCCCAATATCTATATTTTTTAACGGAACAAAGCACGTTGAGTAACTTGGCAGGCAGAGCAACGTCAAGGAGCAGACTCTCACCTAAGAAATAGAAACTCTTCTCTCATATGGACAGTAACAGGTCTGCTTAGGAGCCACTATCACAACCACTAAGTCGCAACGGGTAGAAGTCTTAGGTACATTTGCAACCTGAGAACGTATTCCTTGCCAGTGCTCATGAAGTCAAGTCCAAATACCCCTCCTGACGTTACTGGCATCATCTCCTTTTATCTTGTCATAGACAAGCCAGATTAAGACTCTACTTTGTAGTACTACAGGGTCCTCAGCTCAGAAAGTTGACACTTCCATGGCTACCCAAAAGTAAGGTTTTGGTGCAACTGAGGTAGCATGAAAAATGACAGCAGAAGCAAGTTCTTTCCCTGAACCATTGAGGGACAATGCCCAACTCATCTGTGTGCTTCGTGATGACAGTCTTCATACGGCAAAGGGGAATTCAGTTGCGTGCAGTTGACCTCAGCAACCTCAAGAGGAAAGCGGCTGGGGCACAATCTTCCCATGGAGCCTAGAACTGGCATTTCAGGTTTGAAGCAGCTAGCAAGATCCCAGCTGAAGATGAGAATTACTCACATGAGAGCATGGACACACTAAGATCATGAGAAAACAAGAAGTTGAAGCAAGGAACTGTACCATAAAGAGTTTCACTTCACCAGGCAGCTGGGAAGAACTGAAACAGTGAGTTGTCCCTCTCACATGCAGACACACCGTGTATGAAAAGCAGGCAGGGTGTTCGCCTGCCTTCAGTGACTGCGAGGGCAAAACAACTCACCGGGTGCAGTGGGAACACAACAAGGGCTGCCCTATGGAAGAGGAATGCATAATGTGCTAGAGTTGAATCATTTACTTTTGCTGCTAACAATATTCAAGTTTCACAGAGAGAGTACTTGCCTGGTTTTTCTTAGTTTTCCAATGATCAAATATCACCATGCAACAAACCAGGTGATTTGTAAAACCATCAAGGCAACCACACCTGTGTAAAAACCCTCCCAAGCTCAAAATCAGGACAGAGGAAAGAGGAGGTGTCTGTCTTTTGAACAGCACCAAATCACTGTGAATTTGGAAATCATCCCACTTGTCCAATCTTTAGACTGGCCTGCCTGGTTTTGATTTGCTGATTCTTCCCTTATTTTCACCATTAGGAACTACTTTACATGGCAAAACACGATACAGGCAGCCATCAAGTACGCCTTTCACAGCAGTCAAAAAAATCCAATAGAGGTACAAATTGCACGTCAAACAAATTTTAACCATCATAAAACCAACACAGAGCTTTGCATACTATTAAGACCCGTGCTGCTGCAAGGCTACAGGCTTGTACTTGTCACAGAAAACCAAAAGAAGTGTGATTTATTTGTGCACCCCCAATCATCAGCTGGTGTAATTCCACTTCAATCAATAAGCTAAATGAGCATGAAAACAGAGCAATGCAGGCATGCACCAGACCCACGAGTTGAAAGATCACCACGCTCATCCTCCAGGACCCTGTTAAATGCACAATCCTTAGTGCATATCAAAAGGGTTTCCTTCGGAAACAGAAGCTCTTAAGTCTGATGTATTTGCCTTGATCATTTCCTGCTGTACTGGAGATCATCTTTCACGCATTTATGACAACTCTGCATATCGTTTCCATATTCCAGATGGGAAAATGGGAAATTACAAAAAAAAAAATTGTAAAGATGTTTGTATCTCAGTTATAATGAAAAAAATGGGAAGTGTACCACTTTACAGTTATTTGGACATCTGAATGACTTAATTCAAATTATGCAAGACTCTGTTGACAAGAATGTGGATCTCCCAACTCCTACGTGCGGCCCAGGAGTGATCTTGTGACTTAGTGGACTTGGTAGTGTTAGGTTAACAGTTGGACTTGATGCTCTTAAGGGTCTTTTCCAATCGAAATGCTTCTATGAACGTGTAGCATACCAGTTGAGGACATAACAAGCAGCAAGCATGAGAACTCTGCCAGCAAAAGTTCTGGAAATACCAAGCTATTCATTAATTCGTATCATAAAAGGTTTTGCCAAGCATCAGCCCCCTGTGATATTTACACAACAACCACCTTCCCCTCCTGCAGATCCCAGCATGATTGATGCATTTCTGGTTTACAGCATGAAGTGAGAGAGGCTACGTTTGAAAAACGCCTGCAGGCAGAAGCAGTTTCCTTTTCAACACTATTCGCTCATAAATGAGCAATCTACAAGAATCAGACAAGGACTCATAATTCATAAAAGCTTAATATTCATGTCACAAGAATGAAGCAGCCAACCATGTCTGACAATTGTTTTCTGTTAAAGGCTAAGAATTACCAGCAACAGCAGGTAAAAATACCGCCAGCAGGCTCTTTTGCTGTTCTCATGCTGTCATTATTTGACCAATACTAAAATAATTTCCCTTTTATTCACCCATTACTTAAGCCATACTTACTACAAAAGTCTAGAAATAAACCAAAAAGGAATCCAGTTACTGCCCACTTTCTTCACAAGAAAAACAGCAAGTCCTCTTGCACTGTACTTAAAAGGTCTAATCACCCTATCAGTCCACATAATGGAAAAAATAGGTAAAAACACCAGAAGCAACAGAAAAATGCCCACTAGAATGCTTCCTATTCCTCTGTTGAGAGACTTACCAGCTCAATATTGTACTTCAGGGCAGGGGGGGAATGTAATTTCCAGGACTTTGGTCCTGCACTGCACTTCAATACATGCTTAACATTTACTTAGTGGGACTATTTCTAAACGCAAAGTTTTACTGGACTGAGCCAGACTTCCGTAACGGACCAACAATTTGAAAATGAGTTAAAGTGCCCTGACAGTCTCCTGCCTTGTTACACTTTATTTTATATTTGTGTTATAAATATTTGTAACAATAATGCTTGGAATCCCTGTTTTATACCCACTCATCCTAGGGATAAAAGGTCTTCAAGAGGAGGAACAAGATCACATCTCGACTAGACACATTTCATAGCCCGTGACACGCAAATTAATCAGCTTTGAACATTTACTACAGCAGGAACATAGATTCATAAACTACTAGCTAAAATAGAGCACTAACATAAAGCTCCTAATTTTACCAGTCTTGAAGGATAAACAGGTTGAAAACCAGATTCCCCACCATCACAAAACAAGACGTCCCATATGTCTCATTAGAATAATTTTCCAGAAAGATCTATTGATCTGATCTGGCTGAGAAGCAGGAAAACATGAACCACAATCTTCATAATTCTTTCAGTCAGTCTCAGTACTGCAGTTTCTCTGTTTATTTCAGGCTTTACACAGTGTTGCAGGACTCTTCCCTAAGCAAGCTTTTGGCTAACAGAGCCTTAAGCACAGATGGGTCTCTGACCATATTTAGCAGGGATTCTCCTGAAGGCACTGCTGCCTGATTTTAGAACATTTGATTCAAATGGTTCAGTGACTTGGCCAGAGCACATAACCCAATTTTTTTACTGCTCAGTTCATTAGCAAAGCTCATGTTTATTAACTACAAAAAAAATTTGCATACCACTGAACTCCCTTATCTGTCTTAAACAGCAATTAATAATTGTGAATTATTAAAAAAAAAAAAATCAATTACCGATTTCCTCTCTTGTTTCAGCTCCTGCACATAGCGTGTTAACTCTCCAGTGATAAGAGAGGTCATGTTCTCTGAAATGACCTCATGCTGTCCGGCATAGTCATTCATTTCACTTAAAGTGGCTAGGAAGGCTCTAGTTGATGTGTACCTGCAGAGGACAAAAACGCATTTTGCTTTTAGCCCCTTTCTTTTCAGAAAGACACACTGCAAAGGGAGGTTGTATCCTTCTCAAGCATTTAATATTGTTATGTGAGACTGAATATGGATTAGCACAGATTCACTTGAAGGAATTTCTCAAAAGGAAGCCTATCCCACACCCTGACAAGTTGTCTGATAAATTTATCTGGATTTAGACAGTTTGACATTGGTTCCTAAAATACCACAGCTTTAGAGTGCCAGGTTTTTTATCAGCACAGCTCTGGGACTTCACTATTCTAATCTCTATTCACCACACATTTCTAGCTACACTCTTTTGAGTCCTACAATACAATGCACCGAGCCATCAGTACACCCGACCTGGCAAGTTCCTGTCCAACATTTTGGCTAGTGCAGTGCAGAAAAGAAAATTTTTCATAGTGTACATTGGATTTAAATCATCTACAGTTTATAAAGGTAGTGAGTTTACTAACCAGGTGTTCATTGACAGCCCTTATTTTTTAGTACTTCCCATCATAAGGTTTATTTTTCATATTTAAAAAAATCTCCTATACAACATTCCATGTATTATTAAATGGAAGAAACGAACATCTGTGCACAGAATTTCAGAACAGTGGATTATGTCACTGGTATATTCAGCATAGAGTCAACAAAGCTGCATTTAAATGCCCCAGCTGGCAGTGCTGGTCAGCTGGAAAGCAGCAGCTTTGAAGCACTTGTACATACTAAAAAAATCTATTACTTTTAGATGGTAGCAATCTGCATTAATGTCACCTAAAGGGTGAAAAAGCAAAGCAAATGGGGAGAGATTTAGAGGAAACAGAGGGGAGTGGTGCAAGTAGGCAAGAAAAAGGCATCAGAGAAAAAACAGGGAAAAAAAAACAAACTAAAAAAGAGAGACTAAAACTGTAGTCCAGTGCAAGCAGCCACACTCCCAGTCAACCTGTGGTGCCTCTAGAGAAATCCCGGTTGCAGAGATAGAGAACCAAAGCCACAGAACTACAGACTGACAAAAAGCTTGAAACCAGATAATATTTAGACAGTCTGTATCAAAGCAGTGTCCGAGGCACCCAAAGGTCGCATGACAAATCCCAGACATTGTTTAGAGACATGAGGAAATTAGACTGAGGTGAACGCTATATTTGAAAGGGCAAAGGATACACAGGATCATCTGTGCCATATCACATGAACAGCTCCACTATCCTTTTACAGCAATGTAAGATGTGTCAAAAAAGCTTGTAGTAAACTCAAAATATCCATTCACAGTATAACTAGCCAAAGGCAGATTTATTCATAATCCCAGGTATAGACCAAAACAGCTGATTTACTGGTAACATACACTTCCTTACTTACATATCAATATCTCAGGAAACAATGGCATGAATAACTGATTCCCAAACAGTGTCACTAAAAACATTTTAAAATTAAAAGGCTGTTATCTCTCTTAATGTGAGCCACAAGAATAGCTGCACAGAGAAGCTTGGGGGTCTGACCCAAATACCTGAATTAATATAATTGTGCAGTTGGATCTGTATGCAAACTTATTTGAAACATTTCATATTCCAAGGTCAAGGGTTCGAGTCTGCTGCTGGGCTCTCCAGAGGCAGGCAGAGCAGCCTCCTGCAACGCGAGGTCACCGGGGCAGAGAGTGCAAAGCCTTCGTTCAAAGCCGATGCGTTACAGAACACTGACGTTGAGAAACTTCAAAGTGCTCTAAGGAAAAAGGTTCTCGCTCTGGCTTGCAGCCTGTCTCTTGGAAAGCTCCTTCTCTAGAAAGTTCTTGTTGAAGAATATCTCTGATCTTGTCAAGGGCAGGAATGTTTTTAAGGACACGTGGTTTATCATCACCGGTATCCACGTCCGCAGTGTCACCCGGCACAGGAGCTGGGCGCTGAGGCTGTGGGAACCGTGAGCGAGCTCCACCGTGGCACCCTCACACCAGGGAGACACAGTGAGAATACGTGGAGCAGCAGCTGAGACCACACATCGTCCTTCAACAGCAGCACGTCGTGTGTCGATCCATCCCAGGGCTCTGGGAGAACAACCTCCATCCCTCACCTTACTCTGAGAGCCACTGGTTTCTCCGTGGTGTTACAACATTATCCCTGTAGTAAGTTATTAATCTGTGCTGTCAGTCTATTCAAGTAATTTAAGAGTTACGCAGACTAAAGTTTCATGCTAAAATTAGCAACCGTTTCTGTTCCTGATAAAAGTAGTTAAGAGTTTGGTGTCCACTTCAAAGAGTCAGGATCCTAGAGTCTGGTTTAAAGTTTTTAAAGTACATAAAAAACCCACAAACTAAAATCCACCAAACTAGGCATCCAGAAATCATAACATAAAAAGGGAACTAAGCAGTTACCAACCAAATACAAAGTTCACTCCTTAGTATCTACCATGTGACCCTGTCTCTGCATCTATGATTTCTATACTTGTACAGTTGAATTTTAAAATCTTTGTTTTAAAAGTCAAACTGTAGCTGGTAACACAAACTTTTCCCCTTTCTCCTTCAATGCATGCTTACCCAGCAGTTGATAATGAACATACCTGTATTCTTCCTCTTCTTTGGAGTTCTTTTTGGGTTGGTATTTCTTTGAAAGATTCCTAAAATTAAAAAATATATATGTAAAAAATTAAATTTAAAATCTCCTTTAAATTACCTGGATAATCTCTGCACGAATACACATTCTGTGGGACTTTGGATTTTATTTGCAGTGACCAGACACCGTTTCAGAAGTAGCACTCAAAGAATGGGCCGCACAGTGCTTCAGCACATCTTTAGAACTGCAATAAAGTAGCAGATTCTGGACCCAAGAGGTTCACAAATTAAGGTCATGAAATCAATACACCCGAGCTCTGGTTCTGCTGATGCACAAGTCTCCTCCATCTGATCTGAAGGAGACTCTTTTACAGTAAAACAGCTGGTCCTGAAGTAGAGGGACCTGCTTTACAAACTCCACCCAGTAGAAGGTGCTACTCCATACCCAAAGGTCAGCCAGTCCATTAAATGCAGCAATTGAGGCTCCTGGCCAGGGAAATTTACCTTTAGCAGGATGCTTCTAAGGAAAAGAAAACTCTTTATGAAGCTGTGGGAAGCTGCACTGAGTTGACAAAAGGGGAGTCATTTTAAGATTATCAACTGATGCTGGAAGACATGTGAAATTTGATTATCCCAATTAGCACAGATGATTGCATCTCTCATTACCCCACATCCAAGCACTGATTTTCAAATATCGATATGCTCCTCAAGCGATCGTATCTTGAATAGGAAATCTGAGCGTAATTGTTAGTGCATTTCACAGACATTACGTAGTCCACTGACTGCAAGCCCCTGGGCAGCACCAAGGCAAGGGTTTGATGAACAGGTGCTGTCCCCAGCGCTCAGTACACCTTTCTGACATGTAAAGCTCAGCATTACGTGCATATTGCACCACAGCACACTTTGGGTGTCCTTTAAACAATGCAAACCAGAGAGCTGACCAATGCCAGTTTGTTCCAATGACTAACAAATTTCACTGACCTATCTATGCAAATTCTTTGGAGGAATCCCAGAACTCATCCAGCTGAAAAGAAACTGCTTTTTTGGAAGTGTGACCACCTCCCTATTGCACGTCCTTTTCACTGCTAACTGGGAGATAGCAGGACCTCTTATCTAACATTTCTTATTCCTTTTATTTTCCTTAAGGAGTTAAGGAGCATCTGCTGAAACAGAGTAGTAGCCAGAACTCTGGCAGATTTGCACAGGCAGACACGTGTTTCTCAAAATTTAAGTCTCCCTACTGGAAGGGATCCAACTAAGCATCTCCTTCCCAGCCTCTGCCTTCTCTGAAAAGAGCATGCTCCGAAACAACGAACTCGTCTCTAGTTCTGCACAGAGCAGCTTCAACCACAGAACACCAGCATGGGAAGAATTCTACAAACTGTTGTGCGTGATTACGGTAAGTCTTGTGGCACTCTCCGTACGCCATGGGAATGTCTCCCTCCACACACCTGCTTAACGAGGAAACCACACAAAAACATGCACAGAAGCCTGCACTAATAAGGGATTTTCAGACACACTCGAAGCACCCTGTCATGTTGCCCAATTAATTCTGACATACACAACTACTGTCTTCTTGTGAATCTTTATACGTGTAGAAATGCTATAGAGCTGGGGCAAAAAAATCCAGGTAGTGTGTTTTCACAGAAGAAAAAGATTCCGAAAGCATAACAAGGATTAGCAGAGTCAAACATTTTATTATTTTCTATATATTTTATAAAACACAAAATATAGAGTCTATATATTTGGTATTTTTCTTTTCCTTTTCTTTTTAAGTCAAAAACATACATGGTGTTTTAACCAGGACACACACAAAAAACACAGAAGTGATACTGAATCCAGAAGTGTTGCTGAAGTTCAGCACGCAATCGTGCCCTGCCACGACCAGAACCCCAGCACTTCCCAGGCTCAAGCTCATGAAGCAACGACAGCTTCAGATCTAACAGTGATTAAAGAGAGAACTAACATATAAAATTAAAGACCAGCAGTAAAAGAGCAATTCTGGAAAGATTTTGTGCATCATTTCTTTTGCCTTTCCAGCTTGTTTCTCTGCTCCCTTATTCCCACTTCTGTGGCATCTTGCACTTTCTCTCACACTTATCATCCACCAGAGGTTCCCAGTTCTCAGATTATCCTGGTAACCTAAGCATTTTTTTTCCAATACATCTTCCTCAAGGCTATCTGTCCATCACCACATTAAGCAGGGCTTTTGACACACTTTGTGATGCTTAGTAGTGATCAGGGAAGGAGAAAAACAAAGCACCACTTCAGCCCTCAGAGAACAGAGTCCAGCATATAACATCTAATGGAAGCTCAAAACCAAGCAGAAAACATGTTTCACAAACGAAAAGTTCAACAGCTTTACTTACCATATAAATAAAACTTAGAGTTAAATCCACAGGAGTACCTTGTGTTAGCTTGTCCCTTTTTAATATGCTGCTGCCCTTTCACACCAAACGGACAGATATGACACAAGAAAGGTTAGCACTAGGCTTGAGGAGACTTACTAAAAGCAGATGCAGGATTATTATTTTCTTTTAAACATCCAGCACTGTTTTATCTCAACATTTGACAAGTCTACACTCTTGTTTTTTCTTCTATATCTCTAACTTCTTAGATTACTCCAAACAACATTGTGTTTAAGAGCTCCTCAGAAATGGATGTATTTGTCCTCAACTCATACCCATGCGTGGGAGAGACAAATGCAGCTATGCAGGGGGAATTAAAATACAGAGAAAAGAAACAAATTGATTAAGTTTGGTTTGGAACTCTAGGACAGAATAAGAAATAAAATTCAGGATTTCAGAGTTTCTGCACAGTCACGGGTAAAACTATCTTCCACTTTCCTTGCTTATTTTGATCATCTGTATTTTCCCAGTTAGGCTCTTCATCCCTGAAACTTGTCATCCTAAGAAATTCAGAGCCTAGTGCATGATTCCTCCTAAGATGGGCCCTGCTTACCCAGACAGTCTGCTGGGGTTTCCCAGTGTAGTCATACTCTTTCTTCCAGCTCATTTTGCCTCTGTAATTCAATCTCTTCTCATCTCCATAGGATGGGAGCAATTTGTTCCTGCACAAGTCATTTTCTATTTCCTGCTTGTCTATAGCAGAAACCCCGGGGGAATCCTTGTGGCATTCCCCTGAGAAAGCACATAACCATAAAGGCAGGCCTTTATGATATATAACAGATCATTGTGCATCTCAAATCCATTCTAACCTAAGAACCAAGAATTCTGGGTGATTTTCTTTTAATGGATGCTGTGCTTTAGATAGATCCAAATCAACTAGAACCCCAGATCTCCATCTCTCTAAATACTGAGAAGATGGTATGAGCTCTGCTATGTATTATAGTCATGCCAAAGCAAGGGTAGGGATTTACTGGAGGTTTAGGGAAGGCTTAGTCCTGCATTCCCCTTCCCAGTTAGCTCCACCACCTCCAGCTGATCACCCTGGACCTTAGTGGCTGCCAAAATCCTTGCCCCACGGCCTCTCTCGGTAGCAGCAGGACCACCTGCGTGTTGTATTCCCTCCTAACTTCTGCTCACCTTTCATTTTTTCTACCATGCTGGGAGGGTTCTTAGTATCCCTTCCCCACTGAAACTGCATCTGACCTCAAGGAATAGGTTTTCCGGGTCTGGGTCATATACACTTGTCTCTTTACCTACAACTTCATGGTCAACCCAGATATGTAGAACATACATAACAGGAATTTCCAGTAATTTAGCTACTTCAAATAACTTCACAGCATCTCTGTGCTGTTCAGGAGACAAATCACCAGAACAGTGGCAAGATTATAAACTGTCAAAGTTCAAATTTCAGGCTGCAACCTGGCTAACTACAGAGATGAAATTTCCAAGGGCTGACTTTCTGACCTGCAGTTTCTCCAACATGCATTCATACAGAGCCTGTCTTTTATGACAAGAAACCCTAAGCTTCACCTTACAACAAATGATCATTATTCTGTTGTGTTCTTAAACTCTTCAGGATTTACGTGCAGCTGTTCTAATTTCCTGGAAAACTTTAGAATAACTATCCTCAAACCCTGAGCCATTAATTGTGCGTCTCAGTCATCTAAATATCCTTTCTTATTGCAAAGCATAAGATTTTTGGCAGAGGTCATAAAACAGTATCTTGAATTAACTTTAGCTTTCCATTCTCTAAATTAAAGCTATTCTCTAAAAGCCATTATTATAAGGCAAACAAATTACCACCACTGAAAAAGTAAACTCGCAGATGATTACAGGCTTTGAATAGATTTAACTCCAAGTCCAGAACTTCACGTATCAACTTACCTAAGCTGCTTTGCATAGCTGAGTTCAATCTCTGTTCTTTCTTTTACAAACTTGATGTATTTTTCCAGAACATCAATACCCCACTGCGTGTGTTTTTCTAAGTTGTCAAACTGGTCCTGCAATGAATCAAAAAAATTGTTTTGTCTCGTTGGACACAGAGATAACTAAAAATAATTTCCAAAGTGCATATCACCATGAAGAAAGTGTTATTAATATTTTCCATTACCACAGTTAAGACACTTTTGTAACAACACAGGTTTTTAATCGACAGAAATATGTCTTTTAACATGACACCAATTCAGAAACAGTCCTCATTGCTCATTTCTGAATCTGAATTTTTCATTTCAGAAATCCTGGCAATTCTACTGAATATAATCTTCTAATATAAAGACATCGGATAAGGAATAGATACTCTTGTTGGTATTTTATTTGACTCTGAAAAGTTTACCAAAGTTCCACGAATTTGAAGTCTACTCCTAATTAATAACCTCGATTTTCATCTAAAAAAAATACGATTTATACTCAAGCTTTGTGAGTTATGAATTTAAAATATCATTTAGAACAGCTAACAATCTTTTTACAGAACAGAATTTGTTTCCCCATAGCCTGGTTTATTCTAAAATAGAAGATATGATAAGAAATGATGCCACCAAAAAATGGCATTAGCTGTGTTTATGGTATTTGCCTACCTCCATTTATATACAGATGCTACTTTGTTCTTCAAATATCGTTGCCCTCAAAAACAGTCACACATGTTTTCAATAAAATCTTTTTCAATCGAGAACATTCCACAAGTCAGTCTGGGATTTGCAAATGCCAAGAGAAATTAAGCAACTCTAAATCCAAATTAATTATCTAAGCCAGCTTATTACTATCTGCAGATTTAGCCAAGAATTATCTCATTTTTAAAAATTTTGTTCTTTAACAACACTCAAATTCCATAATCATCCATTCCACACAGCATTTCAGAAGTTAATGTTTCTACAAGCCTTGGAAAATATTTTTAAACTGCGATGCACTTATCCTGACAGAAACACAACGTAAACAAGGTCTTCAGTCTCAGCCTGACTTATTTGGCATCAAGTTCCATTATGGTTTACATGGAAAATAGTGAATAAGTTTGTACATCTGCAGTACAAAGGTTAGATTTACAACATTTTCCAAAAAATCTGTACACAAGCAATAGATTTGGGTCAGATTCTTAGCTGCTACAATTCGAGCTTCTGAGAGAAGCGACGCTGAAGATCTGCCAGGGATCTGGCCGTGTGACTCGCAGTTTGCAGAGCTATCATCAAACGCTATCAAAGCAATACAAACCCACTTCCTCAGATGCACAGAGCAGAAAAACAACAGAGGAGTACCACAAAGCCTGGGTTGTGAATATGTTGCTTTTAAGCAAACACTGCTTTCTGGCTCTGCCAGTAAATTAGGTCAGTATCGGGAGAGATTCTTCTAGCATCAAACAAAAGAATCGCGTGCGCAGAAGCTGCTACTTGCTAACAAAACTGTATTAATTGCATTTGGAGAGGAAGAAAAAGGAGCCATGTTAGAGGTGGAAAATCCGCACAACTCCAGCAAGAAGTTAGGTTAAGACAGCAGGTAACATGCACGGCATAGGACATACAGGGTTTGTGTAGCTGCGTTATTTGCTCTGGTTTAGCATAAAGTGCTATTTTAAACCATTTCAGCCAAGCCAGACTAGGCTTCGACTTAATTTATGTTGATTAAAGAGGCACTGAGGGCAGAGCAGCAAAAGGGCAATCGTACAAAATTACAGAAATAGTGAATATCTAAGCCTTGTGCTCCAGGAATTAAGAAAAAGTGGTTAAGGGTAACAGGAAAAAAAAAAATAATCAAACTACACAGAAGAGCCTGACTTCCAGCAATATAAACCACTCTTAAAAAAATAGGTAACATCATTCACTCAAAAAATAGGCTGTATGCATTCTGCAAAAGGGAAGGCATGTAGTAAGCAGTAAATATTTGCACAGAGACAAATCCTCATTTCAAATAATTTCACAGCTGGGAAGAATAAAAAGATGACGTGACACTGGTAACATCACAGACCTCTCCTCCTCCCGGAGGGCTCAGGTCAGGGAGGGACACGCTGTGATGTCTGGAGTCCAGCGCCAGCACAACACGGCACCTTCTGCTCCGCTTCAAACATACCGTCTCTGAATCTCTCGGATTATGCTGGTGTCGAGAAAGTAGCACAAACACGACCTTTCTAAGGTTTCCGATAGAGGTCTTATAGCTCTCTCACACTCTTCCACAATTTACATTACTTAACATAAGGAGATGCATATAAAATAAATACGCCACGAGGCAGTCCATTACTCACAGGTTCACACACACTCCCAACTTCAAGAAAGGAAATCTCAGGGAGGGAAATCCACACCCTAATAATCCCTGTAAGCAAATTAAGCTGCCTTTATCAGATACCATGCTAGGAGCAAGAAGCTAACTTACAGTCCTACTGCACCCTCATCCCAAGAGGGAAGGACACGGTTTCCCATAGGGAAGAATGCCTTTCAGGGAGATCCTGCCCTTCAAGGTAATTCAGGCTGCTGACTGCCGGGAAACGTAGAACAAGTTCACCCCAGAAAGGCAATCTTGGTGGTGGCATGTCCAAACCTCTTCCATCACCACCACCTTGACTCAACTCTAGATCAGAGTAGGAGTAAAAACCTGAAAATGGCTCCAGGGAGCTGCCTCAGTGGGGTCTGTGATCGCACAGACGCATCTGGGCCAATTCGGTGATCTCAGTGTGTTGAGTCTGGCAAAAGAAAAGTCCATGAAGCGCGGCGCGGAGGTGAATGCACCGCGTCGCAGCTGTCCGACAGACCAGCCACGCCAAGATGCTAACTTGCCATTTATAACGTGAGCAGAGACGCTCGTCCTGCACCGAGCGGTAAACCAGAAGAACCTCAACCAGATAAACAACGAGCACTGACCTCTTCTATTAAGCAACAAGGCGAGCAATTTAGCAAGCAATTTAACCCTCTCCAGACTTTGCCAAAGAGAAGAGTTTCTCGCCTTTTCCGAGCACAAAACGGGTTTGGCCCATGTGCCATTTCGCAGCCAACGCCCCACACCAGTGTGCTACACCAGGGTCACGTATTCCCTTATCCGTTCTCTCTTCAGTGTTTCTTAGGAATGAAAACAGTCACAAAAGGTGGCCACATCACCACTTGGCTGAGCACGAGGGTCCAAAGGAAAGGCAGTGGGTCCCTGCACAGCTAGTCCTCATTTCATGGATCTGCTCAGCAACCTGAAGGTAGGCAGAGGCGTTACACGGAATGCTTTCATCACAAAGCAAAACCTTGACCTCACGGAATCCGGAAGCACAGAGATACACACACACAAGGCAAACCCAACATTTCTGAAAAGAATTTTGAGAGTAGGTAACAACAACATCATGTTCATTACAAAAACACATTATCACAGAAAATCAGAGAGTTAAATAATCTCAAGTATTCTGTGACAAACGTGCTCTAGCTTTAGTACCTTTAACAATGAGATTTTTCACCTTTCTCCAAAATAGACTGCCTCTCACATCAGAAGCAAACTGCTAGAAAATTACTGCAAAAGATTCCCAGACTCCAGTACTACGCTTCATTCAAGTTTGCACTGACCTTCAGAATCATTTTATAGCTTTAAAAAAGTTCTTCACAGTCATCAACGCCAGCAAACAAATATCTCACAGCGGGGAGTGATGTCATCAGTAAAATAGCTAGTACTTTGGCTAACTTAAGCATTTGCAGCGCTTGGTGTAAGAAGCTTCTCAAACAGTAAAACTCTACGAGGACTTTCCATCACAGAGATCAATAAATGTACCGGTGTCCCACTGAAGCCAGGAAGAAGCTAGGGGCTGGGGAAGCATCTGCCTTACAAAAAGAAGCAGAAGTGCAGCTTGTGAGGGTTTATCTGTCTCTGCTCTGAAGGAACTTGGCTCTAGTCTAATGAGAGTGAAGGATGGGTACAGGTTTAGGAGGTGAAGTGTGCCACTACAGTCGTCCATCATCAGTTGGAAGATGGCTCAGGTACCTTCGTGAGCTGCTGTTTCAGCCTTCAATTTTAACACACATTCTCCTCTGTTCATTTTTGCAGCCTCCTTACCCTTCCAGTTGCGGCTAACATCAGAAAACACTAAATTCCACAAGGCTTTAGCATTCCTCAGGAAACGCAAGAAAACAAGGCAAGCAGCATGACATAGTGTTCAGTGAGAACGCTCCCACCAGACCACAGTGGGGGTGGAAACAAAAGGTCACTTTTTGCACCTGTTTTCTCCGAAAAAGAATCACCAAAACACTTTCTGGAAGCATTCACTGCTTTCCACTGACTCACAGACTAGTTCACAACTAGGAACACGCTTGAGCAAAACACTGCATCGACAATGAGTATCATCACAGCAGGCTCCCACCACTGCCTTCACACTGTTGTCTGTGTTCTTTGGCCTCCCAACGTGCCACATCTCATGTTTTCCCATTTTCAGGTGCCTATACTGACTTGTGATATCAACAGCTTATTCAGAAGAATAGACTTGTGATTGACAATCAAGATGCCCACGTAATTAACCCGCTCATACAGCTGTAACTTCATCAGATTCCACTGGCTTCCCAGTGACGGCAGCACATGCCAGTGCAAACCCTTCGTGCCTTCCCCGAGCGATGGAGGAGTTTGAATGCACAAGCTGACCCACCCGACTTCACGTGGGTGGGAAAGCAGAACCTCTGCTGTAGGCTGCTGGAAACAGCTTCTTTGGATTTGTTCAGTTTAACACATTCTGGAGCCCGCACACAAAAACTGAAGCTCAAAAGAGGAAAGAACTTTAGTCATTAACCTGAACGGGAATTGGACATTCAAGTACCCAGCGTGCTTTGCCAATTTTATCCCTAAGGCAAAGCGTGTTTCTAACTTCATTTCTGTTTCCATTAATTCTCTCCTGGTATTTCTACCGCTGCCCAAATAACCTCACATTCATGCATTCTTTCTGAAACTCCACTGCATGCTTGTTACACTGAGAATGCTTAAAATGGAAATAGTGCTGCCTATTTGCTTTTCTTCATTTTAACGGCTACTTTGAGTTGTCAGATCCCCTCACTTCTCAGCTGTTCTCCTCAAGTCACATTCCCCAGCTATGCAAAACATTTTGGGAAGAAGAAAGTTAGCCATAAAAAAAAAAAAAAAAAAAGCTTTCTTCCCTTTTCTAAGCCATATAACATGGAGTACAACCAATTATTGAGCAATAAAGAAAGTGTTATTCATGTGGTCTCTGAAGATCAGCTCAGTGAGATACTCCTTCCTCTTTCACGAGTGCTTCCATCTATTGCAAAATAGTCCAACACAGGGCTTGCTCAGATCCAGTGAGGAATGGAACCTTAATTTGCCTCCAAGGGGCTTCAGCATCAACACGTACTGCAGGAAAGTGGGTGTCCTTGCTCTTCTCTCCGTCTCTGTGGCCAGACGACGCTCACTCGGGTCGTCGTACTCCCGGTGCCCGGTAACTGCTCTTCACCAACAGAAAGGCTCATGACGTAGAGCCCAACTCCACCATGAAGCTTGGACAGAAGTCCTGGGGTTTTTATTTGGTTTTGACTGCAAATAGAACATTAGATTCTGGGAGACTTTATCAACTAATTCTGCAGGTTTCATCACTGTGTCAAACTCGCTCAGATCAGACTCCGGTGGCAGTGTTTACTACAGCAGTAACCAGGCCCAACTGTCACTCTGTCACTCTGCTACTTTCAGCAATAGGAGTGCAGAATTATGAAGAATGCTAGTACAGACAGAAGTAGTGAAGAAAGAGTATGCTGAAAATTCAGATACTAATAACAGAAAAACAAAGCCTTTATATTTAGCGTATTCCTCCTATAATTCTAATCGAGCAACATAATAAAAGATTCATGATTAAACATTAAGAATATTTGAAAACTTTCTACTGCCTCATTCGATTTCATCCCGTCCCCAAATCACTTGTTTATTCATTGCCCTGAAACATAAGTAGGAATAAGGGAATTAAATACTAATTTTCACCTCTGGTTCACACCTTGCCCTGCTACATCCCTGGGCTTTTTTTTCCTTTCTTCCCCCCACTTTTTTTTTTTTTCTCTCAACACTCTCACCCATTTCCATAGTCAAAAAGGAATTGAAGTGAAGATCAAGAATACATTACAGTGTTCAAATTCTAAATTACTTTTTTAGATTCCATGGTTTAACAACTTAAAATCATAAAAATAATTAACAAGAGGAGGCCTTCATAGGCTCTGTTAAATCCCATATGGCACTATAGTGCTAGCAGAACATAACATAGTTCAGATCACAGATCCTTGGAGACGCACAATAAAGCTATATGCAAATGTTAAACAGTTTTCAGGCAAATTAATAATGAAAGAAAATGCAAAAAGTACAGGCTACCACTGCAAGAGCCTTCCAGAAAACTGAGACAAGCAGAAAATATGAAAATATTTCAACATCTGTTGTCTGAGCCACTACAAATGGAGACAATTTCCTCCAGAACGCTTGTCAGCTATGGTCAGTGAAATTCTCGGTTAATGACAACTAAACAAACATCTGTGTTTATAGATGTTAAGTATAAAATGGAGTAGAGGACACCAACCTTTTGCTTCACACAGCACAGACAAGGAGGCCTGCCAGCAGCATGGAAGATGTACCAGTGGGATAGGGAGCTCATCTCTTTTTTTCGGTTTACGTTCTAGTGATGCTGTGGCTTCACCGGTTGCTTTAACAAATCTACCTTTCCGTTAGCACCGTATATCCGGTCCTCGTTCACAAAACTATTTATGATCACATGCATTCTTCATGCAGATCTCCTATTCCTCCATGTGTTTAATTTCATTTTACTCTTTAAGTATTAAATATATTCTTCCTGATCTTTCACCTTAAACAGGCATCTTTCCGCTCAAGATGAATAATAAATATCCCAGAAAAAATTCCATCTTTCCCACCTCTGTTTTCCCTTCATCACCATCCCTTAAACTCATTTTTCCATAAAGCACAAAAGATTTTCAACTGTATTTTTAAGTCTTTCAATTCACCTCAGAACTTGATCTGGTTAGGAGAAAACAAACAAGAAGATCCTTTGCTGCATCATTAGGAAACCGAGTGCATTTCAAACTTGGCGGGGACACACACACAGAGAAATCAAGAGTGGAAACAGACTGTTTTATGTTTAAATACATTCTATGTTGCTAAACACGCCTCTAATTGTCCTACTTGTCCCAATAAACATTATGAATTAAGGAGTTTCTGGTCTATATTTCAGCCTTGAAATGCTTACTTTTCAGCATTTTGCTGGAGCTGTAAAGCAAAGTCAGTTCTAATACTTATGCCAATTTTAATTTGTATTTAAACTAATGTTGCCCCAGCATAATAGCAAGGCCCTTTGCACAGCAAAGGACAGCAACAGGGAGTAACCTTCTTAATTGCTCCTAAGACCAACCACACTCATCCCCACCCAGAAAACCACCTTCCACAAACTCAAGAGTGACCCCTCCTGCTAATTAAGCAGAAGTGCTGTCTCAAAGGCAGGTTTCGGCCATCCCCTAGTCCTACCTTGATGGAAACCTGACTGAAGAAGTCAAACAAGAACCACTTCTAAAAAAAAGCCACCCGAGCCTATGGCACAGAGACCAGCACCTGGAGAGCCAAATGAATATTACAGCCCGTTTGGGGAGCACAACCAGATTGTCAGGGTTGACGGGGAACAAATCGCAACACCTAACAAAAAGACCCACCTATGGTAAAGCTGCACAGGTACATCCCCCACCAGCAAAAATGCTGAGACTGTCTTCATATTAAGAGTAGCTTGCAGTCTCCTGAGGATGATGCACAGCACCAGACTCTAAACCCCAGGAGTGCGTTAGAGCAGGACAAAGAGAAGCGCAAAGCCCACTAGCAAGCTCCAAAGGGAAGGAAAGGAGGGAGGGACTCCCTCAGCAGCAGCACGGAGCATCAGGTCAGTGCCTGCCTGCCAGGACACCAGGAGCACAGCCCTAGGTGACCCACTTTACCCCCTATTACGGAAGCCTTGCACAACCCGACACGTTCTGTCACGGGAGGACACTTCCCTGTGTGAGTACAAACAGTGTCATCAACTGCCAAGGTGTTCGTGCACACTCTCAGTGTCTAGGTTCCTCTGCTGACAGCTTAAGCCGTGAACTGAAACTGCTCCTTCCTGCACGTCACGGCTGCCCCTGGCCAGAGGCGCAGGAGCTGCTCCGAAACCTCCTGGTCTTGGCTCCAGGGGCTGCTCTTACCACTACACCCAATGGCCTTCTTCACCAGAGCCCAAACCTATTACACCTCTACCTCTGCCATCCTGGTGTCAAACCAGGCCTTCCCCCTCCTCTTAGCCTGTTGTATCCTCCAAAGGATGTGGTAAAGCACAACTTGTGGTCCCTCTATAGCAACACGGCAAGTATCGGTGCTAACACAGCAGCCAGGAAGGAAGGTGAGAGAGAGGATGTGGTTGCTGGTACTGCAGCAGCTTCTGAAGATGCTGCGAGGTAAGACAACAGAGAGGAATGATGATTAATTCTGAGGAGTGGGAAGGCAGGAGGATGAGAACAGCTCAGCTGCAGCAGGCCAGAGCTGATCAGCAATAGGCAATTAAAAGAAACAGCAACTGAATCAAAGGACACCGGATCGGTAGCGGACAAGAAGATGGTCCTTGTGGAAGCAAATGGGGAACCTGTTTTTCTTGGAAAAAGTGAGATTTTTATGTGAAATTATGTAGGTTACATGCCCTGGATGACATATGTGGAAGACTCTAAATCCATCTAGTATAAAGCATTATATGAGTGCTGTTTAATTTTTATTCAACTACCTGAAAAGGCCATACAGAGGCGTTAGAGACTCAACACAAGTCACCTACTGTTATCAGTGGGAAAGCTTTTAAGAAAGTTGTGTTACCTCTCTTGAAAGAAGAAATCTGCACCTTAAAGGTGTCAAAGATCTCATGCTCTTGAAAATTAGTTATCATAGTTTTCTTCAAATATGGGAAAGTTAAGGCTCAAAAAACATTGTTTGCAATGTCCACGGATACTTTTCATAGATGGCCATGCTGCAGCAGCAATTAATTTCCTTCAAATAAGTTTATACATTTTGAGGTTTGAGGCACTGCACAACTTTACCACAATGAAAACCATCTGTCATAAACAGACCATTCAAAACTGAACACTTCTTTTCAAGCATACAAAATTTCGCCTATAAAATCCAGGCAAGAAACCCCACAATGGGACACAGTTTTGTTTCAAAACACATGATAATGTGCAAACTACAACTCAGGATAACAAGAAAGCTCTTAAAGAGTAAGATAATAAGAGGGAAATCTCAACTAGTGCCAGATACAAGGCCAAAAATACCAAATATTTTTACTGAAGGATTGAGTGCATTTCAGCTTTTTTCTGTACGTGTCCAGTTACTTACACTGAAGACAAACATGCAAATGCCACTTCTCTTTTTGGTGATACTGGTGCAATTTAACCAATTTAAGTGAACTTAGTCCTACTAGGTATGAGGATAAGCAGCAGAATGTAGACCCTAAAATCCAGACTCATTAGCTGAGTAAAAGCTAAGCAAAGGCTGAAATCTACTGGGGCCCAGAGAGATGATGCATCTCTACCATTAGCATTAATCATACCCACAAAACTCATTTAAAAAAACAACGAAACAAAACAAAGCAATGCTAACCTCTTCCTTCTGCTCATCCTGGGGGAATAGGAACGGGACGTGGATTTGTTTTTTGCTGACAGTATCCAGAGCTGCAGACCAAAAGCTGCAAGGACCCACAGGGATTCACTGTTCCATGTGTTATAAACAAGAGCTTTGAAAATGAGCAGATTCTGGTGTGTATCGCTCCGCTGCCGGGATGGTATAAATCATGAGCTGCAGCAGAGCTCCAGACCCGAGCTGCCTCCCTCAGGAGCTGCAGCATGGTAACAATGCTAAATATATGCTGCTGTTGTGCCAGGAAGGTTTTTCACTTGACAATGTTGCAACTTTTCACTGTTCCCCAACACCATCCCACTTCCCTCATTTAATACACGCCCCATTCTTTTATTCTGAAAAAAAAAAAAAGAAGAACAAATGCAATTTTAGAACTAATTCCCAGTAAATCTTTTGGTGCCTGGCTACATCTTTGGATTAACTGTTGACTGATTTTCATCCTCTTTTGTTCCATTCTGTGATGCTCTCCCTTAATAAGGCCAGCTGTTAAAACAAAGATCAACAAGATCTCTCGCCCACACAGTTTCCCCCTTGGGCAGTTGTGTACTAATTATTAAAAATGAACCACAGAGTGTTCCTGCTTATTGCATGGACAACTACAATAGAAAAACAAACAAGCCTGCTGATCCATTTAAAAGAAGACACACATACACACAAAAAAAGGGAATTCTCCCCTCTTACCCAAACCCACACTGCATTACAAGAGTAGAACCTTATCCACGAGAACAATACTTCGCCCTGCAGCAGCTTGTGGGAAAGTATTTTGAGGAAACTTGATTTCTGC